AAAATAAAACTAAAATACTTAAAATAAATTTAAATAAAATAATATAACATCAAATAAAATTTTATAAAATAAAAAAGCAAAATAAAATCAAATAAAATAAAATTAAATTACATAAACGAAATTTAAAAACAAATAAAATACTATCATATAAAATTTTATAAAATATAGTAAAGCAAAATCAAATCAAATAAAATTAAATTCCATAAAATAAAATAAATAAAAATATAAATAGATTAAACTAAATTAAATTTAATTAAAGTAAGTTAATCTAAATTAAATCAAATGAAATAAAATAAAGTAACTTTAAATTAAATGGAAATAAATTAACTCAAATTAAATGAAATAAAGTAAATTTAAATTAAATGGAAATAAATTAACTTAAATTAAATAAAATTTAAATTAAATAAACTAAAATAAAATAAACTAAACTAAAATAAAATAAAATGAAATAAAATTAAATTAAATAAAATAGAATAAAATAAAATAAAACAAATTCAAAGAAAAAAGAATAAAGGAAAATAAAATAAAATAAAATAATATAAGATGAAGTAAAATCAAGAATAACAAATTAAAATAAAATAATATTAAATTAAATTACATTAAACAAATTCAAATAAAATAAAGGAAAATAAAATAAAATAAAATTAAATTAAATTAAATCAAATGAAATAAAATAAATTAAAAGTAAATAAACTTAAAAAAAATAAAATAATAGAATATAAAATTAAATAACGTTTATAAAATAAATAAAAATTAAATTAATTAATCTAACTCAAATTCAATAACATAAAATAACACAAAATAAAATGTTATCAAGAAGATCAATTTTCAATCGAACGATCGAAAAGTTTTTGAATATTGAAATGCAAGCATTTGTAAATAATTTAGCAAAAATTTAAAAAATTTTGATGTAAACAACGAATACAATAAAGGAAAATAAATAAAATAAAAAAAAAAGTTAAAATAAATAACCTGAAATGAAAACAACAAATTACTAATATTAAGTAAAGTTAAATTAAATGAAACAAAAACAAATTAAATTAAATATAGCAAAATGAAGTAGTTAAAATAAAATTTAAAAAATAAAAATATAATAGAAAAAAGTAAATTAATTAATTATTAAAGCAAAAATATAAAGAAAATATTAGTTTAAATGATATAGTAAAATAATATAAATATGAAATAAAATGCCCTAAAATTTAAATTAAAAAAATAAATAAATAACATAAAATACTAACATAATATAAATTATATAAAATAAAATGAAATAAAATAATCTATACCCAAACCAAATGAAATTCTATCAAATAAAATCGGTTACGGCAAAATAAAATAACATTAAATAAAATTAATTAAAATAAAATAAAAGAATTTAATTTAAATTAAAATAAAATAAGAATAATTTGAAAGAAGGAAAACTAAACTAAAAAATTAATATTAAAGTAAAAGATTTAGAAATAATTAAATAATATTAAAATAATTAATATAAAAAAATTAATAAAGTAAAATAAATTAAATAGTTAAAATATAATAAGTTAAACTCATATATATTAAAATAATTTAAAGTCAAATGGAAAAACATGATGCAAAATTAAAACAACGGTAATGTTACACATAGACACATGTGTTATATCAAAACAAAAAATATTCGCATTAATCACTTGTGCCGATTAGCGTGGTGAAACACAATAAAAGAGGGTGATGTTATGTTGATGAGACAGCAGCGTAATTTTCTGCTATTTATTCCTTTTCGTTTTGTTTGTTTGTTAAAACACGTGCTTATACTTACGGATCTATTGACATGCGATTATACGGTGCTTTTCATATTATTTTGTTCGGTTAGAAATCGATACTCATTATGTCTATGTAACGCGGTAATACGCCTTATCAAAGAAAAAAGGAAAAAAAAAAAAATAATAATGGAAACACAGGTTGACATTAACCTAAGATTGAAATGAATAAAGCTACGGGTTACTGAAGCGTTATGAAAACCAAAAAATTATGTTATGTGAAAGAAGAAACGACGAATGGAGGGAAAGTGCAAAAATCTTCAATTGAAAAGCTAACTAAAAGATTGAATTACATTTTATTATTTGTAAATTAAATTGAGCATTAGATAAGTTTTTCTTATGAATATACAAGCATATATGTGTATGTCATAACATTCTATAACTTAATAATCCAAAGCTTACTTCAAACTCTTGACCTTACTCAATTGATTTGGGTTTATTTGTATACTTGCAATTTTACTAAGCAAATTTCACATTGTTTATGTTACTATTCTTACTCAGTCAATGGCATTTCGATATATCTCTTTATTTTTAGATAATGCCAAATCCATTTAGTTCTCGCTCAAATCATTCATTGAACCCAAAGTAATTCAGAGCAAAAAAGATATGCATTCTGGCTGGCATGATAGGAAATTTCCATTTATGGATAATTACTATTACAAAAAGCTACAAATGTCCTCACAAAGTCACTCACACTTGCATGTGTGTGTGTGTGTGTGTGTGTGTTCAATACTGGTATTGCAATTAATGTATTACTCAACTTATGTGAGTTTAGTTACGCGGAAGCCACATAATTGAGCACTTAATAGGGAATGTTTCAAGATGAAATGAGCGGAAAGGAATCTTTTTTATTCTATGCAGCTATATAAGTATGTTCATTTATTTCTATAAGTTGCCAGTTCAAGAGTGTAATAACCTTTTGTGTATATGAAAAGGTTTTCGACTAACTTCTCTCTAGTTTAAGTTTATATTTTTTCCAACAACTAGAGCTCTAACGTATCACTTCAGTGTGGTACTCCGTGGTGGTAACGACTTCGCTAGTGCAGTTTGCTGAAAATAACCCTTTTGGTTACGATTATATTATACAATAACTAATTTTAATATTGAGGTATGTATCAACTTTTATAAACTAATAAACTAGCTGAAAAGAGGTAATTTATAAACTATAGATTTAAAAAAAACTTAAAAAATATGAACTGAATTATACACAAAAATAAACTAAATAAATGAATTTAATTAATTGTATCAAATATGATTGGCGCTCTGTAACCACTTAAGCGTCTTGCGTCTCGATTTTTTCCCAACAAATGGAGAAACTTACAGTTTAAATTAAGTGATATGAAATTCATTTGCAATAAACTAAGCAAACTAAAATGAAATAAAAGAATATTAAACATTTATTGAGATAAAACAAAACAAAATAAAATAGTATATCCAAAGTAAACTAAGATAATATTTAGTAAAAAAAAATTATTTCAGAACTAAAAAGAAAATTAATATTGAAAGAAATTTGATATGATAAAATATAAGAGTTGAATAAAAAGTAATGAGGGTAAATCAATCTCAAAAAAAAAAAAAACTTAATCCAATCTAAAATAAAGCAAATTTAACAATTAAATTAAATAAAAAAATCTAAAACTAAATCTAAAAATTTTGACCCTAAGTCAAACGAAAATAAATTAAATAAAAAATATAAAAATACAACCAGCCAAGAATTACAATGTAATACAAATATAAAAAAATTAGACAAATTAAATTAAACCAAGACAAAGCAAGATCAAATAAATTAGAATAAAATAATATAATTAACAAAAAAAAGTTCAATTGAACTAAATAAAACAAAATACAAAGAAATTAATTAAAATTAAACAAAAAGAAATGAAATAAAACAAGTTAAAGTAATATTAAAAGGCAAAAAATAGAATAAAGTTAAAAGCCAAAATAGAATAAACGAAATCAAATTAGAATAAAAAGAAACAAAAATTATTATAAGATAATCTTTAATAAAATAGGAATAAAATAAAACAAAATTATAAAAAAGAACATAAACGAAAATTCGAATGAAATACCGAAATGCATAATATTTGAGATGATTATTGATATTCTGAAATGATTATTAATATTATCTAAGAATAATCGGCAATAGGTGCCTCGTTAAACAGTTTCAATCTTTTTTATTTCGAGATTAAAGGTTTAGCTATATAATATGCCCACAATAAATAAAACAATAAACTTAGCATCATTGTTAATTCAATGTCATTCAATGTGACCTAGAAACGAAAACGACCTTGATTTCTTCTTGATAGAATCTTACATACATATATTTATATATATGTATATACTATTAGAGTGGTTCAAATTTCATGTTTCATGAAATCACAGAAATCTAATTTTTGTTGTTAAATAAAGAGAACGGAGCCGAAAGTAGCTCAGTGTCTTTGTTTTGAAAACTTTAAATATTTAATACATTGAACCTTAAGTATCTTAACAGATAACTCTTTAAAAAAAACCAATCATCCGTATTTTTTATAAAATACAATACCAAAATTATTAATCTTTTCTTAATCAGGAAACTTGAATTAAATTTGTAACGTCCACTCCAATATACACAAATCCTTGTATACCAGAAAGAGAATTCTATTAGTTTAACATTGACACAGAATTCTAAGGAAATTCTTTTAAACAAAGAAAAAGCTTTTCATCTAAGCGCATTTGAATTGTTTTCTTTACTTTATGATGCCTTTTGTTGCACGAATACACACAACCACATGGACGAAAAATATTTCTTTGGTTTGGTTGACCGTTATTCAAAGGATATCCAACGAGGCGTGAATTATAATAGAAAAGCAAATGCCCTTGCCATTACATATAACGGTGTATGTTAGTGAGAAGATAATAACTGAATTTTTTTGCTGGCGTATATGAAAATTGAGCTTCATTAATCAAAGCTCATTAAGATTTTTTTCCTTCTCCTATTAAATGGTCGCATTTCTTCATGTCAAAGGGCGATTAAGTTCATTACACCAATTAAGAATTGTCTTACAAGGATGTAAATGTATTAGGGTATTAACAGATGAGAATATTGATGAAGCATGGAACAAACTAGCTCTCACTCTATTTTTATTTAACTCAAACATAACTAAAAAGTTATAAATTGAAATCAATTGAATGAAAACTTAAAGTTTTGCTTTTGTATTTTTGTCCACTTACATTTCCAAAATAACGGCTTCCGTTACCGCCAACTGATTTTTGTTTCCCACTCTAGTGATTGTTGTTGGACACAGTTTGCTGTTGGATCTTTTTTTTTTGGCCCTTGCCGTGGCTGAGTGGCAGGTAAGTAAGTTTGAGTTTATAAGCACTTTCCGCTCATACGTTTTGCTTTTTTATTGCTTCTCTTTTGGCATATCCACTTGTTTAACGATTATTTAAGGTCTTTTTTAGAGTTGTAAGCATCATATCCTTATATGTACATAAACTCACGCACGCACGCTGTATAATACCATTTGGCGGAACGGTAACTTTACAGCCTTCAGTCTTGGCTACCGAGTGCAATCTATTTAATCATTGAGCAGATCGCGCTGCCTGGGCGTGCCAAGCCGCAAATTCCCCTGCTTAGCATCTGTATTTTGGTAATTCAAGTATTATATAACTTTGTGGTATTTATCTATGGTAAATATGTCAAAGCAAACATACACTTATGTATCTTGCTGCTAATTACATAATTACATATTTGCTTGTCTGGATATTTCCCGAATTCGTCTTTATTTTAATTAACGATAATTAATTAAATCTTCTGACATTTTCACAGAACTCACTTTCCGAGGTTTAAACCAGATATACATCTATAAACAACTTATTCAAAATTAGATTCTAATTTGCAATACAAAAATTAATAATTAATATATTCATATTTGCAAATATATAAAGAAAATGCAAAAATAAACTAAAACACAATAAAATAAATTTAAAATAAAATAAAAAAACCAATAAAACACACAGTAAATTGTTACCAATAAAACAAAAAAAAAACAATATAATATCAAAAAAAAAAAAAACAAAAAAAATTAAAAAAAATAAAAAGTAAGATAATATTAAATAAAATGGCGTGTAAAAAATAAAATAAGTTAGATAAAAATATCGAATAACTTCAAGTCAAATAAAATATAACTGAATCAAAATAAAAATTTAAGTTTCACAGAAGACCAAATAAAATAAACAATGAGAAAAGTTAAAAAAATAAAAAGCAATAAAATTAAAATAAGTTAATTAATTACATCAAATTGTATTATGTTGAACAAAAAAATAATTCTAAAATAAAGTAAAATAAAAAAGAAGAAAAAATAAAATAGAATAATTAAAAAAAATTAAATATAAAGATGAAATAATGATAATCAATTAAACAAAATATAATAAAGTAAAAGAAAGTAAAATAAAAAAAACGAAATAAAAAAATTAGTTAATATAAATTACTAAATTATTATTATAAATTAGGTTAAACAAAATGTAATAACGCGAAATAAAATAAAAATAAACTATATAAAATTAAACTATATAAAATTAAATAAAGTAAAATAATATAAAATAAAATTATATAAAACAAAATAGAATAAAATGAATTTAAATTAAATTAAACTAAATTAAATCAAGTCCATTAAAATAAAATAGAATAGATGAAACATTCAGTAATAAAGTAAACTGATATCAAACAAAATAAAACAAAATTATGTAAAAATAAAAAACAGAATAAAAAAATATTATATAAAATATACAAACAAAAAGAAAAATAAAACAAAATAAATAAAGTATTAAAATAAATTAATATAAAAAACAAATTAAATAATATAAAACAAAATGAAATTAAGAAAAAATATAACAAATAAACTTTAATAATATATTACTAAAATACTAAAATAATATAAAATTAATAAAATTCAAATCAAATAAAATGGAATACAATTTAATAACTTATAACAAAATAAAATACCTTAAAGTTAAACTATATGAAAGGTATATGAAACAAATAAGATAAGAAAAAAAATAACAAAACAAATGGAAAAATAATAAAATAATAATTAATAGATACGGAAAAAATAAAAGGGAATGCAATTTAAAATTTGTTACATTAGTTAAGCAGAATAATCTATATTAAGATAACTTTTTAAGTTCCTTTTTTTTGTAGTTTTTTTTTTATTGATATCGTTTTTTATATCAATTCTTCAAACACTTTTAAAAAAGTTACAGACCACAGGAAGGTTTAGTTCACTTAATTTAAGTTGTTTCTATTTTTACCTCGTATAACTTATTATATGAAAGAGTTGAAAGCTACCACTTCCCCTTTTAACAAAAAATTCATTTCACAGATTAAACAAAATTAAAGATTATATATTTGCCTAATTAAATTTTTTCTCTGATATTATGTGATTATAGTTATTATAAGTTTGTTTTCATATCTATTTATTCCTTAGTATTTTCCAAATACTCGTAACTCTTTTAAGTATGTACATACTCGTGTGTCTATTTCATTGCATAAATTCTTCGAATGAGTTTCGCAATTTCAAGGACACTGCTAAATATGTGCAGGGTAGTATGGAAAAAATATTTATACACCAACACACATGTGATTAAGTGCGGGTCATTAGCACACTATAAAATTTGTTTTATAATTATATTTGGCGCCTCAAACCTGCACACAAAAGGCAGCTTTTTCCACATGCTGCTAGATGGAGGTATATACCCCGCCACACTAATGTTACACAATAAACACACTAAGAAGGCTTCGCACAATATCCGTTGCACGTTTAAGTAAGTACTTAACAAACACAGGCCCATGATATACATAAATACGTGTGTGTTTTAGATACCGAGTTTTTTGTTTAAGCACCGCCTTATGGTTTCATAAGATCAACATCAAACTTTTGCTTTCCATCAAAGTCGAAGCCCGAATAAATTGACTTCAGTTTTGTGTAATCGACCATCTTTTTGGCATTTTAATGTTTTTGCTTCTTTTCATATTTAAACATATCCTGGATTTTATGAAGGTCCTTCAACGGTGGCTCAGCTCAACAGAGCAGAAGCATAAGTAGCAACAATAGCAGCATCTTTTTGTTGTCCTACATTTATGTAACATAATCTCATACTGCTTAAGATATGCGACACAATGGATAATTCTTAAGTCAGGACTTTAAAGAAATATACTCTTATGCGCTTTGATTTTGGGTTTTAAAGGACACATTCACACCTTACACAACACCACAACAATAACGGCGCAATGTGATTAGTACTTTTTCCACGCCAAGTCATGTCGATTGGTTCTCAATTGGCGAAATTTAAGCTTTTCGATAGCTGCACATGTCAGTATTGCGTCTCCCGCACTAAACCAACCGACCATTATATGTCAAATGTCAATGTCGAGTAGCAAATTTAATTTAAATGCCAATATATGCTGTTTCTGTTGCCGCTGCTGTTGTGCGGTGGTTGTGCTGTTATATGTATTTATTTATTTATATATGTGTTTTCTTCAGTCGCTCTCACTTTTATCACTTTTAATTTCACTTAAGTTGTTTCAAATATTTACCAACGACAGGCGCTGAGTGTGTCGTGCTGCCGCTCTGCAGGAACGTATTGACAGTAATGCCCAGAAACAGTTAAGTTGGAAAACGCTTTTGCCGTCAGCGAGCAGAAAAATCATTTAACGCACTTTTCGGTGCATATGTGTGTGTGTCAATCAGCATATGGAAGAAGCTCATATAGATAAATTGTTGTTGCTCTTGTTGTTGATATAAATACATTCATTTATATACATTCTGTTAATCTGTTATTGTAGTTATATATTTTTGCCGCTGATTGCTGCGCACGCTCACTGCTTGCTGCAAAACTTGAGGAATCACTGCTTGCTCTGCACACTCAAGGGTGGGTGGTTGTGGTTTTTGGTGATAGCGTTTCTGGAAGGTAACAGCTGTTTGCAGACAAACTGTATGTATTTGCATTACCTTTTGCAGGGCTCTTAGATTTTTGTTCTGTATACATAGGTTACCAGCAAAAATAATGAAAATTTTTGAATTGACTATAATTCACAAGAACTTTAAGTAGTCTGACAACGTTAAGATCGATAGAATATGTATAGAACAAAATTTCACATAGGCAAAAAAAATTACAATAATAAAGGGCTTAACACATACAATTACGAAAATGCAGACAAAATATAAGAAGAATTTTTCAGGCATGCATCTGGTCAGCTTATTTCTGCAAGACAAATTCGTTGACGTAAATGTAAGGCATTGTATATGTGAAAGGTTGAAAGCCGACTAAACTTCAATGCCACGAAAAACGCACATTACAGGCAGCGCAGCTCGCATGCACCAATAACTTTAGAAATATTGAACCTAATTCTAAGAAGCATAAATTGAAAAAATTTGACCGATGCTCCACATTTAATTTAGTACTCGATTTATTTTATTTTGTTTCTTTTAATATGTTCAAAACGATACTTTAGTTAAATTTCAATTTTTTTTCATTTTATTTTATTTTATTTTATTTTTTATATTTTATTTTATTTTATTTTATTTTATTTTATTTTATTTTATTTTATTTTATTTTATTTTATTTTATTTTATTTTATTTTATTTTATTTTATTTTATGTTTTTATTTTTTTTATTTTTATTTTATTTTAAATAAAACAAATTTAATATTATTTATTTTTATTTGTTTTTATTCACGTTGTTATTTTTTATTTAAATATATTTTTTTTAGTTTGTGCCTAAATTTATTTTATTAACAAGAAAAAAAGCATCAATTTAGTTTTCCGAAGCTTAGCCATTTTCAAGGCAATGCATGCAGTAAATTACAGCCCAAGAAGCTAAGCTAAATGCGCGGGAAAAGGTACAATTGGCTCTCTCCGCGCGAACTGTTCAAAGTACTGAACGGAAATAAATTGTTAGTTATACGCCCCGTTGTACAGTGCAGTGACTACCAACAGGTGGAATGGTGTGCTCCACTCATTTCGCCGTTCATATTTGATAACTGTACGGTGCTGAACGCTTCCGCACTAAGCGGCTTAAAGGCAACAACAATAGCAACTTCTAAGGGAAAAGCACCAAATGCTGCGTCTGTTATTTACAGCGACTGTTGGCTGTTAATTGTACAACTTTTACTCACTCATACAGGCATACCAAAACAAATGTATTATATGCCCGTCAGACAGCTGAGCGTCTGTGAGCGCAACGTTCCGACCTGATGACATTTCCTGGCGCTTTTTGCAGCGGGGCGATGGGCTGTTCATGCAGAAGCTCAGCTGTGCTCTTAAAGTTCAGTTATTAGCTCGGTCAAGGCCAATCAAGGCCACATATATGAATATTTTTAGATATATGTGTATATCTTTGAGTTAAATGTATAGGTACGAGTATCTATACTTTTTTGTTCTGCCTAAGTGATTGTGTATTATCTTGCCATTTCTGTGGATGCAGGGATATATGCTTACAACCAAAACTGATGAAATTTCGCAGATAATACAAATATATACATAAAAGTTTTGATTACTTTTTGTTGAATAAAATACTCTCGAACGTTTGTAAAACTAATAATAGATCAAGTAAAAAGTAAACTATTATTTTTTCAGCAAATTTTAGACAAATAAGGATTATCTGATTTATGTAAAAAATGCACCGGTTTACTAGATAATTTTTTTGCCTTTATGAAGGCATGGCATTATGCTTCCCTCATGGAAATATTTGTCCCTTTAGGCAAAAAATTCAGAAATTCGATAATAGACTTCTTGACTTATTCCGGAGACTAATTCTTTACTAGCCAACTCATTCGCTATAGAATAGCCAAACTCTCGGAGCCCATAGTTGAAATGCGTTCAAGCCTCAGTGAACTAAATGATCAACCTTACTCTTTTTATTTTATTCACTGCGAAATTTCGACTATAATGAAGGACCTTTAACTTGACCTTTTATATCACTAAGAAATAGTTAGTAAAAGTTAATTTTTTGGGAGTATCGAAAAAATATTTCTCCGACAGCAAATATAAAAAATAAATTATAATATATAAAATTTGATTAGTTGCTCGTATTTAAAAAGGAAAGCGGCTCACTTCTTTTTAGATATTTAGCTTTTTTGGTTTTTACTTTATTCTTTTTTATAAAGATTCCTAATAGGCGACTGAAAATTAGTTTAGTTTTCTTCTTCTTCTTCTTCTTACACTTCTTCTTCTGCTCATGCAATATTTTTGAAGTAAAAATAAATTGAAAAGTGACAAACAATTGTGCATGAGGTTCCTCATTTACGCATTGACAATTGAGTTAAAATTCTATTTATATAAACTATTTATTTTATAAAACAAAAATTCTTTTTTGAGGCAGAAGTACTTTTCTTTTAAACGCTGATTGCGCAAAACTGTTTATTATGTCTTCAGTCTTAGTTAGGACAATAAGCAAACATACATATTATTATATATATGTATATACAGGTATAATCATTATATTCCGAGCACCGAATTCTGTGCACGTCGCAGCAATGTACGTGTGACAATTATTTTGGCACCAACGTGCATTTACACACAAACAAACCAAAAATTAAATAAAGACTTTTTTCTGACAGTGGTTTGTTAATGTTAATTCAAGTAGTCTCTGTGACAAGTGGTGCTAGTCATCATTGACAATTCGTGTTCTTTAGGTATTTCTTAATTTTCTTTTTTCTACATCATTTGCTGCTTACTATGCGTGTTCTATTAATAGCTACTGAAAATTACTAAAATGAGGTAAAACAATAATAACTCGAAAGAGTTGTAAAACATTGAGGAATGAAAATAGTTACAAGTATGAGGAAAATATTTTGTGGTGAGAAAAAAAATTATATTCAATTTATGTTCACAATACTCAGAAAAAATTCTAAACTTTCTGCTTTTTTTAATTTTGCTTACGCATTAAAATCAATAAGTAATGTAACTAAAACCATAAGTACAGAATCCATTAGCGTGTTCTTTGAAATTCTCATATCCTGTTGGCATTAAGCCATCGACATATGTATATGCATATATAGAACAAATATATACGTTATACATTGGATATTTATCTATATAGCATTGCTATAGAATATCCATATTTTCTAGCAATAGTACTAAATTCACTTGCTATATCAACATTCACTATTACTATTCATTACAATAACAATGAACCCGAGAGTAATTTATTGGTTTAACTGTTGCGTTTGTTGTTGGTGCATCATATATCACGCCTTCGTGGCTTTTACGGTAGTATTATAAATAGCAGACAATAAAATAATATACTTCTACATACATATATATATATATGTATATACATGTATATGAACAATATGCTTCTCAAAATTTGGACGGACTATGGTGGCGACATAGCAGAGTTTTCATAATAAAAGTCAGTTGATTTTTTGTTTTGTTTTAAAAATGTTCACAACTGGAACGGTTATATTACATTTTATTTATTTTTTTTTACTCCATAAATATATATACAATAAATATTAAAAAAAATTAATTTTTCAAGAATTATCTCTAAAACACAGTTTCTGCTTTAAGCAAAAAATTTTTTAATTCAAAGCAACAGTTAAAGGTGTCTACGATTCTCCACCTCCCCTAAAAATTTCTTTTTGTATCATGTAGCAAATATATATGTATACATATATCTTTTTCATATATATCACATATGTGCATTTACCTGACACATTCGCAAGACAACGGATGGCTGAGCACTTTTTACTTGACAGGTGTTCCAGTACGAACCACATGTGTTGATGTACTGATATATTATACGCTCATTAGGGTATTCAAAAAAAAAAACTTCAATAAACAATGTATTTTACTGTTAGATTTTTCCTATATAAATCACAATACTAATTAGGATTGTCTAAAACTAATTAAATTACCTAATTCATATGAGGTATGATCATAAGTCATTTCAAAATTTTGAAGATTAACGCTATTTGGGCATAATTTTGCCTATATAAAAGAAATACCCTCCTGGTAAATTAAAAAAAAAAGATATGAGTTCATAAGACCACGTAATCTTTATTTTAAGCGAATTGCATTGAAACCAAGTTCCTTAAAAGAGTTGCCTATGATTTTTCTGTTCAAATTGAGATCAATTCTATGCAGTTCCAAAAAATTATTATTGTTTTATATAATAATTTTTATTTTGCTCAAACAGTTAAAATGGAAACTAAAATAAGCATACAAAATAGATTTGTATATGGATATTAAACTAATTAGTTTGAAGACCTTTTACATATAAAATTAATTGATTTTATATGGTTGTCATGTGATACATCTTTCATGGAATTGAAAAATTGGAAAACAAATTTTAACATTTAATTTCAAATATATTTCCAAATTTTAAACCACACTCTAGTGGCACTATACCTTTATATTTGATTATATGTAGTAGTAGCATTGTAGTCTCCGTTCGGCACTCAAAGTGAACAACAGATTTAATTTTATATACAAAAACAATATTGGACTATGCCGTCCCTTGTGCAGAATCATGGAAATACTGGAAATATATGAAGAATCAAGGTATAACACAATTGGTTGGAAATCACTTTAATTTACGCATTTCGCATTTCAACCCATAGCCTAAACCACTGATCGTGAAGATCTTAAACTTGAATTATGTCTTTTATGCACAATGTAGACATCAAATAAGAAAGGATTTTCTGAGATGTAGAATATAATTTTCAATCATTCGATTTACATGAAATTCGGTACACATAACAAAAGTTCTGTCAAATGGTGACTTTCAATTTGTTTAGGTTAAACTTAAATATACCAAATCCTTTGCTATTAAATTTAGACCAGCTAAAATTTGGACCAGAAAACGCTAGATAGCTAGATGAGGTTAGACAAGACGAAATTCCACCACCAACACAAACAGAAAACAGCCATGTGATTTTCTTCAGGTTTCAACGTAATTTATAGCCAATGCAAATATTCACTAAATGCCAAATTGCATATGGAACGATGGCACCATAGCATTTCGCCCAGTATTTCCTAAACGAATTCGAAAATGATCAGTCTATAAACTTTAGTAAACTAGCTATAGGTGACGAATCTTGTTTCTATAAGTACGATTCAGAAACCAGACAGCAGTCCATGAAATGGAGCCCAAAAAAATTTGTTTTGAAAACAGGAATAAATAGAATTTATGGCGCTACTCCTTAGAACATGACAACGCGCCATTCCACACTGCTGAAATAACGACTAATTTTATTGCAATCCCAGGGATCGAAGAAATAAGCCAAGCATTGTATATGCCGGATATAGAACCTTTGGTTTTTGATGATTACCAAAAATCGCAATAAATTTTTTGGGGAACGGTGATTAATAGCAGCGACGAGATAATTAATGCAGATAATGATGAACTTGAAAAGCTTANGATTTTCTGAGATGTAGAATATAATTTTCAATCATTCGATTTACATGAAATTCGGTACACATTTGAGGGTATTAACAAAAGTTCGGTCAATTGGTGACTTTCAGTTGGCTTACGTTAAATCTAAAAATACCAAATAATTTGCAATTAAATTATACCAGCTAAAATTTAGACCAGAAAACGCTAGATAGCTGAGGTGAGACAAGACGAAATTTCACCACCAACGCAAACAGAAAACCGCAATGGGATTTTCTTCCGGTTTCGACATAATTTATTGCCAATGCAAATATTCACTGAATGCCAAATTGCATTTGGAACGATGGCACCAGTGCATATCGCCCAGTTTTTCCTAAACAAATTCGAAAATGGTCAGACTATAAATTTTAGTAAACTAGCTATAGGTGACGAATCTTGTTTCTATAAGTACGATTCAGAAACCAGACAGCAGTCCATGGAATGGAGCCCAAAAAAATTTGTTTTGAAAACAGGAATAAATAGGATTTCCGGCGCTACTCCTTACAACATGACATCGCACCATTCCACACTGCTGAAATAACGACTAATTTTATTGCAATCCCAGGGATCGAAGAAATAAGCCAAGCATTATAGATGCCGGATATAGAACCTTTGGTTTTTGATGATTACCAAAAATCGCAAAAAATTTTTTGGGGAACGATGATTAATAGCAGCGACGAGATAATTAATGCAGATAATGATGAGCTTGAAAAGCTTAAAAAGCAAGATTTTGAAGACTGCTTTCAGAAGTGGATCTATAGGCTTAAAAAATGAATTAAAATCAATGGCGATTATTTAGAGAAGCTAAAATAGGACATACATTACGAATAAATACCTAAAGATTTGTTTTTGTTTTTTCTTCGCAAATTACTGAACTTTTGTTAGTCCCCTCGTATGTAGCCGATATAGTATTCATGCTTTGATTTGCTTGATATCTGGAACATAGATTGATAGTTGACTTTGTCAATGTATTGAGACAGAAAGATCTTATTTCTTCCTCAAATATTTTAACGTAAAAGTTTTTAAGTTTTACTTCGAAAATAAAATATAAATTTAATAACATTTTGGTATATGTGGAATTTTTTTTAAGTTTAATTAAAATATTATTGTTTTTATTATAAAACGGACGTACATGCTGACTTGAAAAAAATCAAAATTTTCGATTGCCCTAATTTTGATTGGCTTAAATAAAACTAAATGTCTTTGTATTACCTAATGGAATAGAGCAATAAACTTGACAAACAACGTACATGTGCTTTGTATGTGGCCAACAGAGAAATACTTCTTTAATTTATAACTTAAATTGCGTTGCAGAAATATTGCCTCAAATTCATGAAATATTTTTCTGTCCTGCATAGATCTGGGAGAAATCTTAAACACATTTCGAAACCTCAAACTAAAATTGTAATTTATGTAATTATAAAAAATATTTGCTAATATTTATATTTCAATAAATTTTTTATTTATTTTTTTTTGCAGTGTAGAGAGCTGACCTTGCCATTAAAAATTGTATTTATTTACCTACTGCTGCCAATTATTGGCATATATACTCATGTGGCGGTAAAGTTTTGAGTGATGAATAAGGCAATATACATGTAAAATAACAAACGCAAAACAATGAAGTGACGTCCAGGATACATATTTCAGCGGTATCAGAAAGACACACATTGGCGCAAGTGCATATATAGTACATAAATAAATAAAATAAATATTTCGCTAAGCAAAATTCAAAATTAACAGCTCATCCAAGTCAATTCCAATGGAGCACGTGCTGTGCATAAAATTGAAAAATGTATTTTCGCGTGGTAAACTACCGTTTTCTGATTAGGTTGAGGGGAAACAAAAATTAATTACTAGTACGAATGTGGGGGAGTAAACGTCACGGCAGCGTAGAATGTTGTCACTCATAATTTTTGAATAATTACCCGACAATGTATGAAATGCACGTTTTTTCATTTTAGTTTCATTTTTTGTTTATTTACATGCATACATACCTAGCAAAAAAATACCGAGAAAAATATTTCATTTTTTTTTTAAATAACATGAAAATCACTTGCACATTTATTTACTCCCCTGCCAACTAATCGTTCATTAATATTAATTACTGTAAGTGCACACGCATACATAAGCACATATATAAAAAAGATAGAATTTATGTGTGCACTACACATTGTAGATATATACGTAAACAAGATTTTTGTAGAGTCAACGCCACCAAATGTCCACCTCTGACGGTCAGCCAATGGTCATGCTCTTCAAAGCACACACATGTGCTTTAAAAATAAAATAAAAAGTAAACAAGTAAAAGAAATGTATGGGAAACATTCTTTAACTACACAATTATCAAAGAGCTTTAGCCCATATGTATATGCTTATGTGTAGATCCCGGCATACAAGCTCATCCCACCTTCATTGCATGTCATATCCTCGAAAGTCTAGTCGGCAGTTGGTCGATAATTGTAAATGTATATGTGTGCACATATGTATATGTGTCGACGTGTACATTTTTTTTTTTTTTTTGGCTTGAATGCAAGCTTGTCAAAGCGTTAACATTAACCTTGACCACGAATATTGATTTCCTGTTGACTTGCTTTTCTTTTGCCAATATGCATAATATACTCTGTATTTTTTTTTGCTGTTGTTGCTGCTGTGTTTTATTACTTTTTTTCATATAATCTAGCACTAGCTGCAATGACTCGACGGAAGTGGACTTACTGACTGACAGTATTTCACTTGGCTATCTACATACTCAGATATTAGCGCGTCTGCCAGGAAGGTCAGGGTTGCAGTGGGGAAACTAAAGAGGCAAACAGTTGCCAAATAAATATGTATAATTTTGTAATTTTATTTACATATGTATGTTCAACGTTTTTTTATTTCGTTTTATTTTATTTTATTTTATTTTATTTTATTTTATTTTATTTTATTTTATTTTATTTTATTTTATTTTATTTTATTTTATTTTATTTTATTTTNCGTCAAAGGAAATAAAATTTATTTTACCATTATATGTGCGTGTATGTGTATGTAAAAGAATACTCAAAGAAAATCATAAAGTCATAAAAAAATTAATCATAAAAGTATTTTCAAAAAAAAAAAAATATATAAATAAAAAACAACAAAAAAATAAATCCTGAACACGCGGTCATAACAATAAAAATCTAAATACAATAACACAAAATCAAAAATTAAATACAACAATAACAAACACGCAGCCTTTTATTGATTGTGAATTTGTTGCTTGTTGCATTGTTTTTGTGATTAGTGAGAGAAAACGAATGCAAAACCAAAAAACGTTGGCAGTAAAAATAGCCACAACGCAGCGTTGAACATACAAACGTCCATATATACATACATATATACAACACACACACACACACATAAGTGCATGCCTCCAAAGAGTAGAGTGTGTCAAATTGGGCCATCAAGTGCAACAACAACAATGACAGCAAAGCCACCGTTTCGGCCAGTTTAAAACAGTTTCAAAGTTGCAGTTGAAATGATAAAAAAAGGACAACGTAATACGATTTAAGACAAAATCAATAAGAAATCACATAAAAATACTTAACAAGTTTATTACCCATAAATTGTGAGGTGTGCTTTTCCTTTTGCTGTGAACAAATAAAGTATAAAAAATCATTTAAGACAAAAATTACGAATGCCCTGACTGAGTGACAGATATTGTGTTTATAAAAACGTTTTGTGATTGTTCATTACTTGGGCATGTTTGTATAATAAATAAACATTTCGATTCGTACAAAAGTGCAATCAGATTAAGAAATTTATACACTGAACTCGGTAACGAGTCAAATTGACTGTAAAAAAAAATAAAAAACAACATTTTTTGACAACGAATATCACTTTGGATTTTACTACGGAAATATTAAAGATTAAATGGAAATGACTAAAATATTGAGGTAAGCTTACAACCTCATTTCTATAATTATTATTAGAACAAAATGCATATCTGTTCTATAAGTTCTAAGAATATTAACTAAATTCGAATATTACTTTCCATCAGAATTTTTGACTTTTAGTAGGAAAACGGCTTTCAGCCGAGCTCCTGCTCTAATTTGTGGTTTTGCGTCTTGGTGTTATTCCAACAACTGGAGGGGCCTACTGTTTATACTAGCCGCCGCCGTTCGGAGGTGATGGTTTTTTTTTATGAGGAGCCTTTATTTCATAGCAGAAATACACTCGGAGGGGCTGACATTCCCTGGAGAGGGGCGACCGCAGTTAGAAAATTTAATTTTGTTATTTATTTTTTTTTTTTAATTAATTTTAATTTAGTTTGTTTAATCATTTATTTGTTTATTTTATTTTATTTCATTTCATATTTTATTATATATTGTTCTATTTAGTTTTGTTTTATTCAATATTATTATATTTCATTTATATTTTAAATTTTATTATGCTACTGGTTCATGTTTTGTTTGATTTTATCATTATATTCAGGACTTTTGTATTTCTGTAGGCAAATTTCCATTTAACAGCAATCGCTTGTAGAGGCAAGCTTTTGGGTCTGAAAGAACGGAAGCTATGCCTGTGTTGCAGTTGCAGTGGCCGTAAAAGCTCGCCGAAGCCCGAGTACACTGTAAACAAATTTTAGTGCCGAAACTTCTAGATAAACAAAAGCCTCTTACGCTTTAATGTCACCGCCTAAAGGTAGTTTGCATAATACCAGCGCTTTCACTAATTACTGAAGTATTTTTATAATAATGAAAAATTAAACTTTATGAATTTCTAGATACATATATTTCTGTGCTGAATTTGACCTGTGACTGCCGAGCCGTATCACCACTTCTAGTACATTAAAACTAATTAGTTGATTTTATCGCAATTCCAAGTATGAATACGTACGTATATATATTTTTCAAAGCATTTATCGCACTTTGGATCCCTCGGTCTGGCATTATTTTTTGAGTTATCTACGAATTACATAAAGCCCTCAATTGGCAACAAATGGGAAAAATAAAAATTGCGTCACCAAAGACATTCCAATTAGTTAATTAAAATTGAAATAATCAATAGCATTTATAAAAATAGTACGTGATTATCATTTCTCATAAAATTATGTATGGAAAATGTTAAAAAAAAGGGAATAAGAGCAAGGGATTGATAAAAAAAAAACAATTTTTTACAAACTTTAATATTATATTTATTGAGAAAGTTTATCACAATTGATATCATATTTATTGGCGTCAGTGTACTCTTTGTGAAATGTTTATGAATAGTTCGAGAAAAAATTTAGAATAAATCATTTGCAAATAATTTATAATTGTGTACCTAAGTGATTACGTTAAAAGTGTATTTAGCATTAAAGGATATATCACTTTTTTATGATGTTCGTAGCATTTATTTTTATATCTCTATTTTTGCAGGTAGGGTATACGTATATCTACACTGCTAAGTAATATAATATCACACATTAAGTGCATCAAACTTGGTTAATTACATTTATAATCCCACAGAAAATAAGATTTTTCTGCTGTGCCGTATTCGCTACAAGCACTAAGCTGTAGTCAAATGCATCAAAATTTCATTAATAAAACTTTAACTATTTTCAATCAAAAAACGAGACGTGAAATATATATGTTTTCATTTGAAAAAGGTATCATTTTCCATGGGACAGTTCTAGTATTGTCTGGTGCTGGATATTGAAATAATAAGAGAATCAACAGACATCGAAATGAAGAGCTGGACAAACAAAGAAAAAATATTTTCAAGAACATTTACAGCACAAATTTTTTAAATAAATAACAAGCGTTAATAATTAGCTTCAATTTCAAAACTTCAACAAACAAATTTCTGCAATATTTGTTTTACATTGTTTTTCTTCTTTTTCTACTTAAATTCATTTCATATCTATGTAATATCAGGTAGGTAATTTAGGCATATACTTATGCTTATCTACTTAGGAGTAAAACTTGCTGCCAACGCTATTTGTTATTGTATTTTTGTTTACATTTATACAAGAGTTTGCTTTAAAGTCATTGACATTTCGCAGCGTTTTCAGAGGCGTGTTAGCACAACGCTCTGCTTTGCCATAAAACCTTGCCTTGCAATTGCTCACAATTGCTCGTGGAAACATTGCAAATCTAGCAGGGAGGTGGGTTAATCGCAATGGTTTTACATACATATATACACACCTAGGCGGAGTTCAATAGGGAAATTAGTAAAAGATTTAAGTTTTACGTATGCATTTAAAGATCTAATTTTCAATTGAAATTTACTAGACTTTTTTAACTTCGTACATTAAAAATGTTAAAATTTAATAATAGAGAAGAAAAAAATGTTAATCTCAAGCTCAATTATTCCTTCAGGGTCATGTTTGTAAATAAAACTTTCACCTCATTGCTAATATTATTAATTATTTTTTTGAGCTTGAATATGCAGTTTATTAATTATGGCATGACCTCGGGCAACAAAAGTACGACTTATAAAAAATGTTGGCTATAAATAATTATTTTATATTTTTATCTATCCGTTTTAAGCTCTTTTACAAACATTTTTTTATACCATAAGCGTGCCAGCGGCGTCGAAAAGTGGACATAAATTGAATTGCGAGCTTAAAGAAAGACATACTTTAATGTAGCTATATATATATATATATATATATATATATTTATGTATATGCATTTTTTCTCCAAAAGCACAAACAAAAAATAAAGAGAGATACATATTAGAGCTTAGTACCCGGGTATCGTGTACACGTTCAACTGCTTAAATGGTTTTTTAAAATTTTTCAAATTTCAATATTGCTTGTCAAAATTTCTTTAGTATTTCAATGGGTTTTACACTAACACTTAAATAAAATTTAAATTGTAGAAGAAAGTTCTGGATAAAAAGTCAGATTTTTTATTCAAAATGCTCGAGCAGCTCGAAAATGTTCAAATAAAATCTTGAGCTCTAATACATATAGGGGGTGTCCAAAAATTAATTCAAGATTTAATTTTGCCGCCTTAAAAAAACAGCAGACAGTATAGGCATAACATATGACAGAACAACGTCTCTCAAAAATAATTAAAAGTTGGCGGCTGCAGTTTTAAAATAATATGATAGGGAAAATATTTAAAAAATTCCGTGAGACAGGATCGGATGGGAACGAGAAGCACACTGTCGCCCAAAAATGAGTCGTTCAAATGACAACATCGAAGCAGAGTGTGAGTGTAGGCGACATCTTAACGAATGACAATTGTAACGCAGCTATTGAATAATGACATAGTTGCAAGAGTTTTAAAAGCTTGATACCACGAATTTATTTAAGTGCCAACGATTTGCCATTTCAGTTCAAAAATAATCAGTTTCCAGTGAAACTTGTATTTGCAATGACAATCAATAGAACACAAGGACAGTCGCTGGATGTTTGCGGCATAAATCTCGAAATACCATGTTTTTTACACGTCCAGTTATACGTGGCATGTTCAAAAGTTGGAAAACCATCTTCTCTGTAAAATTACGCACCGGAACAGAAAACAATAAATGTTTTTTATTAACTTGCGTTACATTGGAAAATATATAGACAAATCGTAAACAAATGACTTTCAACACAATATAAATATATAATAAATATATATAATATTCCAGATTTTTTTAAAATTCAAAATTCCGAAAACCTAGATTTAATGCAGCTTCTACATATTTGTATGGCTACAAAAGTGCGCTACAAAAAGACGTTTTGCTTAGCGTTAACTTTTTATGTATTTTTTAATTAACCACAAAATGTTTTGTCCACCGTTAGTTAGTTTAATTATTATTATTTTTTTTTTGACTTAAGCATTAGCGAATTTTAATTTAGCACTCACCTTTTTTGTATTGAAGCCAAGAAATGATAATTTTCGCACGTTATCACGTGGTCCGCTCGGTCCGCTGAAACTCATTTTGCCAACAACAACGAATTTAAGCCACTTTTATGAATTATTTGAAGCAATAAACAACAAACAACTAAAAACAATAAACTAAAAGAAGCTAACAAAAACACTTTAGCTTTGAGTAAATATTATTTCTTTTTTTTCAAATTTTTTTTGTTTGGTTTTCCAAGTTATGGTACAACAACAGACTTCCAGAATTCGTCTTTGAACAATCTCGGCATTCGGGCTTATTATATTTTACTCAGCTAGCGCAACTGTAATGAAAAGATGAAAATTAATTGATAAATTATCTGGTTAATATGTATGTGTTGCACACACACACACACACACACAGTAAGTGCAATATACTAATATGTAAAAAAGCAATCATAGGAACATCGAAACCAGTTTTTCATGTAATATTGATTGGTCATTACCCATAAAGTGCTGACAAATATTATTATCCAATTTAATGTTCTTTAATTTCATTGTTTACTAAGCATTTATAGCTTATTTGCTTTCATATGTTTATGAATAAAATGGTAAAGGTACTGAAGTGAAGTGAAATAAAATTAAACAAAATGCAATAAATATATTAAATAATATTGAGTAAAATAAAAAGAAACAAGAGGCAAAAATGAATATTGAAGAAAAAAAATTAACTAAAGTAATATATTTACAATTATGTATCAGCATTTATGTATGTATATGCAAGTTTATTAATTTTTAACAACACTCAAATACAAACAAATCATTTAGCTACCAAATTGGTTAGCTATCATTCTACCCAACGGCTCGGCTCACGCAACTTCTCTAAGCGAAGATATTACAAATAATAACCTGAACATGCACACACACACAAACACACACACACACACAGATATGATGCCGCAACTTATTTTTCTGCGATCATCGCTACTGATGTAACAGACATCTGTTGAGCTCATCAAAAAATTGTTCACACACCCATTTACATCACAACAAATAAAAACAATAATTTCATATTAATTTTGTTCAAATAAAAAAAAATTGAAACTAAAAACGCACTCTTTGTCAACGGTTTTACGAGTATTTGTATTGCATTTTTATGCCTTTATGATTTGCTTCAATTATTCGTCTGATACAATTAACTGTGTGACAATATACTTTACGCCTGAGAAGCTAACATTCATACGTACATTTGAAAAATTTCCATTTCTAACTGGCAACAACAAATATAGCATTACGGTTATAAAATGAAAAAATTGCTATACCATAAACCAAAGATTTTTAGTACGTTAAACATTATGTGGAAGTGATTTTTTAACACAGACATCAAAAAATATTAAACGGCGCATTCCTTAGATTATATATGCATGTGTGATAAACTAAAATAAATATATATAAGGGCAAATAAAAACTAAAGATAAATGATTTCTGCTAATTTTCGCGTTTAAAGTAATATATTGGATAGCTTATTATATGACGAGGTAGTAAATGGGTTTGGTTTATTGTTACTAAACAGTTGAAAGCTTTTAAGCGAGTTATAATTTTAATTTTATTAACTTCCAAATGAACACAGATATTGATAAAAAAAATATTATTAATTAATAGGAGCAATAAAGAATTTAATTAGAATATTTTCTGGGGAAGTTAACTTGAGAAATATTTTTTTATTAATAATTAAACAATAACATTTAAAAAATCTAAATATTATTTAAAGATTTTGTATTATTAATTAACTTAAAGTAAAGTTTTACTAATCTGGCCGATTCCGAAAAATTATCTTATAGAGTTTAGTTGAAATATCTCAAAACTGATTTACTACAGGGTGCTCCATCTTTAATGTCGGTATGAAAACATTGAATAACTTTAAGAAAAAACAACCGATTTCTATAAGAGATATTTTTATTCAGTTTGGTTCCTTGCAATTTTTTTGGACTAGTTTTTGAAAACAATATCAATCAATTAAGCCCTTTTTCTGCGCTGTTCAATACATTTCAGAGCATTTTGGGTGTTATAACGTCGATTTCAGCACGAATGTTTGCCTGGAGCTCATCAATAGTTTGAAGCTGATTGGCGTAAGCTTTGCTTTTCAGATAACTTCACAAGAAGAAATCATTTGTCAAAATGCGACACATGGTGGTTTCACTGGCGCGAAAATACTGAGCGCGGCGACGATACGACACTGTTGAGTCGGCACTA